ACTAAGCAAATCCTTTAATTTTAAATCATGTCGGGTCAGTATCACAAAATTGCGTGAGATCTGTAGTCAGGGGTTCAAATCGCTACTTTGAAGTCTCGAGCATCCTTAGCGGCGTTTAAAAAGTTGCTGAGAAGGTAAAAACAATCAAAACATCGGCATAAGGGCGGAAATTAAATTTAAAAAAATTATTATCGCTTCTAATTTGATTGTTTTCTAAGGGGCGTCTGCCAGTGAAATGGACTGCTTATGAATCGTTGATGTATGGAACATACACTACACAGAGTGATGTGTAAGTATTTTTTGTATTAAAGTTAACACTTTTTTCACGTTAAGCATGTAGAATGTTGTTTTTTTCCGACGAGTCACAAGGCTTTCGTCTGTCTCTTTTATGCCTAAAAAGAAAGGAATGATACGTTCAATAATTAAACTTCAACGATAATTATCCCAACAAAATGAAAGAGAATTCTGTTGTGCTGCTTGTGCAGGTGGTACTCTACAAGTTCAAAGGTGACTGTAGCTTTTGGAAAGCCGGTGCACAAGCCTTCTCTTCATCATTTAAGTGAGTTATTTCTGCTAACGCTGATTGGTTTGTTCTAGCTGGAGTTACGGCGTCGTACTTTACGAGGTTCTTACTGTTGGTGAGTTGGAAAATTGTTCATTCTGATATTTTGTTGTGTACTCTATTTTTTTCTTGTTTTTCATGGTTCGTAATAGATAGAACAGATACAAAATGAAACAAAAGCAAAACTCCATGTACCTTAATTTCAATAATCATATCGGAATGATTGAGCAAACAAACAAACAATGCTTGATCAGTTTTTATTATCTTTTTAAATAATATTGTGTACTATTCTTATAAGAAATAAAACATTCTAAAACTCAGAGCAAAGGTTTACCAATTCGAATTAATATTAATTTTGTTCAAATCGTGTAAACGTCCCTTATATGTTTTCGCCAGCACAGAAAAACATTTCTTTCCGTTATGTACTCTTCTTCCTAGTATAGCTTCATTTTTTCCAGGTGGATCTCCATATCCGGATATAAATGCCCGTAACATCGCCCAGAAACTTCAGGAAGGATACAGAATGCCAAAACCAAAACACGTTGAGATTAAACTGTGAGTCATAATACGAGTAGGGAAAAGAAAGTTCTAAGAAATGAAAAAAAATTTTGGGTACGGATTCAGTTCTAAAAATCAGTAGCCATGCTAAGACTATAAGGTTTCCGTAACTGTTCCTGCGTATTCAGATCCTCAGGAATAAGTGGTGCCCCCGCTCATCCAGAGCCTAATATTAGAGGGGGACCGGCCTCGTCAAAAATATTTATCGGCTCTCCGGGGGGTTAAATTCGACCAAAAATAAGCGGGGTCCAGGCCCCTCCCCTAGTTCGGCTAGTGATGTAGTGATGAATAATATGTTTCTCTCGATTAGCTATCAGATTATGCTTGACTGTTGGAGGGAAAACCCAGTGGATCGTCCTACGTTTGAGAGACTGAGGAACACAATGAAGGAGATGGAGGGAAATCATAAGGTAAGAGGAGTAAGAGAAACAATTATGGATACGGAAGGTTCATTTAGGGAAGAAGCTAATACTGTTCAAGGACTGAAGCTGAGTGGAGTGTGTAGCACCCCGGCCCCCTCCCGCCCTCTTATCCCAGTATGGGTTACTGTATTTATTTTTCATTCCGCTTGGTTTCTTCAGAAGCAGTTTACTTTAAAACATTTATCCATTACACTACATGCCTTACTGACCAAGCTACTACAAACCGCCCGTCGATCTGGTTAGCTCATTTGGTTGAGTATCAGACTTTAGAGGGCATATAGGGTCCTGAAATAACTGACGAGAAGGTGTTTACATCGTTTACATTATGTAATTATATATTTTGATTCCGATCTCTCTCAAGCAGGATTACCACGGAAAAATGTAGACCTCTCAGTTTTTCTTTTCAGTTGATCTGAATCGGTAGAATTTTAAACCACTAGGTATGTAAAAAACGTTTGATATTATAATGACCACTTCTGGTGTGCCGCCGTCCTTAGTCTTAGGTTGATAATATGAAGGGAGAGATTCCAAGATGGGGATTACTTGTCTGTCTTCCTTCAGTAATCATAAAAGTTGCCTGTAAGCTATGTTTGAGTATTAGGTGAAATGAATTGTTTTTGAGGTCGAATGTGACGGAATAAAAATCCCACCATTCTGTGCCTTTTACGTTTTTGCATTGCTTTTATTGTTTTCATTTTTTCAGACATATGTCAACCTGAAACAATATGACCACAGCCTTTACGCTAATGTAAACGACTTGAAAGCTATGTGACTGTACAGCTGGTACTGGGCCGAAGGATTGCATCACAGACTGACGAATCAGCCTAAATTTTGTCTATTATTACTATTATTATATTATTATTATTAGTAGTAGTAGTACAGTCGACTCCCGATAACTCGAACCTTCAAGGGAAATCGAAAAAAGTTCGAGTTATCGACGTTTATCGGGAGCTCGAAGAAAATAGCCGAGAGTAAGGTAAAAAAACAGTTTTTACTGCACAGTTAACATTTTAATCACGTTTAATTTTAGAAATGTCAAGTGAAAATTAAAAGGTACTTCTAAATTATAAATCAGACCGTAACGTAACAAAACATAGCCTAAACAGAGCATGCGTTTTACTGTTTTGAGAAGTAAAGCTCCTTCACGTTAGCCTGTGACAATCAACATCAGCCTCCATTAGTAAACTATACTCCTACAACACGTCAATAGGAAATCCAAAATTCAATGTTTCGGACACCAGTAGATGGCTTTTTTCCCGACTTTTCAAGGGCTCAAATGATTGTTCGAGTTATCGAGGGTAAAATTATATAGAAAATGACTTGAGGGGAAACGAAAATTGGTTCGAGTTAGCGGGAGTTCGAGTTATCGAGGGTTCGAGTTACCGAGGGTAAAATTACAGTGAATGTATGACGGAAATCCAGGCCTAGGGGAAATCGATTTTGGTTCGAGTTAGCGCGAGGTTCAGGTTAGCGAGGGTTCGAGTTATCGGGAGTCGACTGTAGTATAGGTAATAGCATGATTTGTAGTCATATTTGGCATAAATACCACGAGTGATATTTCGAAATTGTTATGACGTAATTCACGAGACGTTAGGCAAGTGAAATTTGAGACATTTTAGAAATATCACAACTGGTATTTAAAGGACGCGATCACGGTTATGCACATGCAGGCCGTTTGTCTCTTCAGAATAAATTTGTTGGGTCAACACTAAATTCGAAATCGCCATTACTGGTACAATCATTGAAAATCCTTCGTTTTATTCCGACATCCGTCCCTTTGG